ACAAATAATGGCCTTTTCATGTACAAATTTATCTAGATATTACAAATAATGGCCTATTTATGTACAAATTTATCTAGATATTACAAATAATGGCCTATTTATGTACAAATTTATTTAGATATCACAAATAATGGCCAACTTGTGGTTGAATTTATCTAGATATCACAAATAATGGCCTATTTATGTTCAAATTTATCTAGATATCACAAATAATAGCCTACATTTATGTAAAAATTTATCTAGATATCACAAATAATGGCCTAATTATGGTTAAATCTATCTAGATATCACAAATAATGGTCTATTTATGTGCAAATTTATCTAGATATCACAAATAATGGCCTATTTATGTACAGATTTATCTAGATATCACAAATAATGGTCTATTTATGTACAAATTAAGTATAAATAATTGATTACTCTAATTGTATAATTTTTTATCTTTGCAACCTACTGTCGTAGACTTTTGATATTTCAAACTATAAACTCTCCTAAATCATATTTGTACGAGGAGAGAAATCAGATCATTTAAAAAATTTTATTCTACATTTTTGGTAACTGCTTTACAGCCTGAAACATGCCTTGATTCAATTAAAGTATTCCCTCTACATTATGTTAATGACTGTAGGAGAGAGGGGCGTGACTAATTTTATTGTTAATGAACGCCCCCGCGCACAGTAGGGGGGCATTCAAACATTACGAAAAACATGGCTTAATATTCAAATAAACCGTGTACCCTCTCTAGGCATACTCTTAACTGAAAATATAAATATCTATATCTATATTTATATCTGATCAGTTAAACACAGATTATTTATCTATTTTACTGCTGTACATGTTGTTTAGTGTTTTAAACACTCCTAGGCAGCATGAGTTAGATATCTATTTTTAATTTTTATATATATTTTTTTATCCATATCAAATGTAGCTTTATATGTAAATATATCCCTATCATGTCCTTACCTGTATCTATATATCTGTCTATGTAGTTTTTTGTTTCTTAATTTTTAAGTCATATTTTCGTACATTTAAAAAGCATAATTTAAAATTTCGTGGATTTTCCTGTTGAAAATGGGTGAATTTTTAAATTCTCATTTTAAATATTTTTAATTCAACAATTAAATTTTTTCTGTATGATACGTACATGCATGATACACATATACAGGATCTCTTTTTTTGATTAAATGATAAATTATTGATTATATAAATGTAAATATATATTTACATATATCCAGGAGGGATGTGACGGTATAACTGTTGACGATTTAAAGAATCAGCTGCAGAGACATGAGGGGCTACTGGAGAATCTGACGATTAGTATAGGTCAGTCATTTATTTCACAGACTTTTCAGTCTGTTATTTTCAAGATTTCTTTATTTCAGACAATTTAAATAGTATTAATCTTCAAATAAAAATGTGTGCATCTTAAATGAAATGGCAGCCATTTTAGATAAAATGGCGGTCATCTGAAATAAAATGGATGTCATCTTAGAAAAATATCTGAAATAATATGGTGGTCATCTCAAAAAAAAGTCGGTCATCTTAAAATATTTGGCGGTCATCTTGAACTAAAAAACGGTAACCTTAGATAAATGATGATTACACGTTTAAATGGCAATTGTGGTAAAAAAGATGGTGGTCAACTCAATAAAATGACGGTAATCCCCAAAGTTATACTGTTGGTAACCACTAGATAAAATGGTGGTAATCTCTAACTTAAGAAGCTAGTAAACGTCATTTTGTCCGAATATAAACTAGATTTATTTACATTGGAAGAATGGGTCAGTGATTAAGTGAGATAAAAGCCAGGATATAAAAGACAAATCACCCAGTTAAACCTTGATTGTCCATTACATATTTATCTCAACAAATTAATTGGATCGTTTATTCAAGCAGGAAAATATAATTCTTCGCTCGTCACGATTTTTGTGCAAATCAATTTGAGTAGGCTTTATACGTCTGAACATTTTTGCACTTTTTTTGCGTATTTTGGTTTGAAGACAAAGAAAAAACGGTTTTAAAAATTGCGATGTGGCCAAAATATTAAAATAATATGACACAACGGAAAACTAAGATCAATTTTATTAACAATTTCAGAATACAAATTTTTTGAATAGATTATTCCTTATTATTTGCATACCGTCTCTTTAAGTAGACTTTTTCACAGTTAAATAAGTTGTTTCTTCCTTTAGATAGAAGATAAAATTAAACTCATACCGAGTGCTAGTAGGGGTTCCAGTTATAAAGGAGGCTTCAATCCTTACAGTCTAAAAAGAAGCGGTGCATGTTATTTATCTGAAGAGTAATCTTTTTTAAAGAATGATTAGTGGACATCTTATAATACATAAACTTACCATGCAATATATCCCCTTAAGTATACACTGTACATGCACTGTGTGTGTACAACTCTTAATAAAGTGCTTGGTTGCATATACATAGGAAGGGGCAACTTAAGAATTAATCAATTCATTTGAATTATAATTTATTTGATGTATTATTTAAAACTGATGGATGAACTGATACACCTAAACCTCTTGTTTTTAAAAAATCTTTGCAACTTGAAAACTTAAGTTTTTGATTTTTCAAATTTTGACTTTGAAGAATTTGTACCTGGAAATATCAAAGATATAGCAATATCATGTTGTGTATATAAAATATTAAAAATTAAGATTTTAATGAAATTAATCAGTTTCTTTAAACAAAACCAAAAAGGTCAGTTTGTGGCCAAAAAAAAGGCAACAGTTTAAGTGGATCACCCCCCCCCCAGTCCATGTCCATGCTTAGCCCTAGCTGTTACTTATACTAAAAAATAATAACAAAAACTTGCAATAAAATATAAATTGGCAGTTGAAGCATAAAAATACAAAGAATTTTATTATTTTTCACAATATAAAGATATTTCATGTTTTAGTTAAACCACGAGCATTGTTTCAACGTGAATTGTTATTTGAAAGTCGAGGATTTTATATAGATTTAGCTCATGGTAAGGGGGGCGAGGGGCTCAGACGCCCCCTTTTGGAGCAATAACATCTATGATTTCCAGGGGGTTTCAGGCCCCAACGGTGCTGACCCCCCCCCCCTCCCCCTAAAAAGTAAAAAAATTGTAAGTCCCCCCCTGGGGGGGGGGCTCAAAATTGTTCAAAATTGATAAAAGTATTTTAAAGGAATCCTCTGTTTTGTAAATCTTGATATAGATATTTAAGGTTTATATAAACGCTTCTTAATCAGATTTAAATTTCAGTTTGTGAAATATTTTTTACTTTTTACACAATTGCAAATTGTTATTACAGGTTACAGTCGACTTTTAAAAAGCTTCTTAAAGAAATAAAAATTGATAAAATTGGTAAAATGTATTTTAAAGAAATTGACCAGTATGTAATATTTTTGGAACAGAATACTTGGACTTGTGTACATTTTGTGATGGGGACTTTATTATAGATTATATATATACTAGAATACTTTGAAGGCTTCTTTTACACATTGATAAATATATATAAATGATATTTGATATCTCTTCATCGTATCCAGCTTTTCAGATGGATATCTTAAAGGGAGAGTTGACGAATTTAAAGAGAGTGTTCGCAAAAATAATTCATAATATTTATGATTTTGTTTTTTCTTAAATAATTTTCGCTGGCGTTGGATTTTCTAACGTTACTGGAAAATCTGAAAATGTCGTCTTTATTATCAAAAATCATTGAAACAGGAATAAATCTTTTCAAAATTGTTGAAATTTAAACAAAAATCTAATTTTATACCGTGATATTTCACACCGAAGGTAATTTTCAAGAAACATGAACGATCCCTTTATCGGCAGTTTCCTTGGTATTCTCGGGTGTCGTATTATACTACTTAATAGACCCTTTTAGCACTGCCATGTCATATTAACAAGAGATATAAAGAGTTTTACGACCAGATTCGGATACGAGTATAGTTTATGAGGATACGTGTGTATAATACTATTCAAATATATTTCGACACAGCTACTCAACAGTATATTAATAACCCATTACAGTCAGTTTAAAGAGATATTCACCGTCAACCACGATTTAGACTTGACCACGAACCTATATTTATGTATATATAGATTCATCTTTAATTGAACCACGGACCTTTATATATACATTCATCTTTAATTAGACCACGGACCTTTTTATATAAATACATTCGTCTGTAATTGGACCACAGACCTTATATATATATATATATGTATATAAAGCTAGCCAGTACTACAATGTGCAGCTGGGGGGTCAACTCTGTAGTGGATTGATATGTTT